ATGAATAAAAATGACGAAACCTAGTTCTAATCTCAGTTCAGGAGTTTTTTTTTGAGTGCTTAGATCAGTTGAACCTCACTTTTTACAAAAAACTTGAGGGTGTTAAATCCTATTTGGAAAAGCTATCTTACAACTCTGTAATTGTGTTCCAACTTAGTATGAATAAAATACTACTCTCTTAGTATGAACAAAAAAAAGTGGCAAACTTTCACCAATGTAATAGTTTTCTCTTACATAAACAAAGAGTTTGCATAAAAGCTGTCTTCTTTTTTTTAAGCATCCGAGTAGCAAAGCTCTTCTATTTATTTACTTGCTTTTTTCCCTCCTTTACAGCTTTTGACTACTTGGGGGAACATTGCCCTTTCTCTGGACTCTTGGTTCTGGACTGTCACCAATCTGCACCCTCCCTTACTATGTTACTCTCATGTGAATTTAGATAAACAGCCTGTGTGGAATGCTGATTAAGACAAGCACCATCTATGTCTATAATTTATAAAACCTGGAAAGAGTTTTCCAGCAGTATTTGTGATGTACCTAAGCAGCCAGCAACTGCTAGGGGAGTGCAGCGATGAAAACACACACACAAACACACGGGGTGGGGGGAGAGCTGATGCAAACACGCTGGGGAGACATTAAAAAAGGGGGGCTTGGTGGTTAAACTCAATATTAATGCAGCAAGAAAATCTCTGTAATGCAACAATAATCAACAGGATCAATCTTGGCCGTATTCACAGGCAGTAAGAATTCAGAATTAGAACTCTTGAGCATAATATAGTTTGTAGTATAGTTTGTAGTATCTATCAGTTTAATAATATTAATTATGTAGGTCAAAAACAGACTCGAATTATTCAGAGACAATCATTAAGCTAAGAACTAATTCATGGTGGAGGATACTACTGTGGGCTGTATTTTCAAAAACGCCAGTTGATTAGCAAGCAGAATACTGATAACAGGCTAATAATAAAAATTGTACTCACTGAATGGAAGCACAATTCTCTCATCCTTCCAAAATCTGTACTTAATGATCATGAGACTAAAATATTACCCAAAGTTTCAAATAAATAAATTTGAAACAAGATCAATAAATGATAAAAGGTTCAGATAGGAAGCACAGATGGTGACCTTTTACTGGGAAGGCATGGTGTCTCATTACAACCTACTATGCAGCTCTAAATTCCAGGGCAGAGATTCTTCACTCATTTTCTAACATTCACAGGAAAAATTACTCAGTGCTGCCAGGGTTTTCTTCTTGCCTCGATTACTTTATCCCCTCCCTATCTCCTTCCTCCAAAGCATTTTTTTTTTTTAATTTCTCTGAATAACATTAACAATAAAAAGGGCACATTTTATTTCTACAAATGACTCATCATAATCAGTGATTGATCTAGGACAAGAAAAACTTGGGAAACTGTGCTAATTTTGTTATCGAGGAGGAACAACTAAAGCACATTTTGTAATGCTAACTCTTGGGAAGAAAATGAAGCTAAAATATTTGTTTTAAAAATTTGTTCAGGTTAAGAAATACACTTTATTTAAATTTTAACAGACACTGCTTGACAGGATTCTTTCTGTATTATTGTCAAGAGATTTATCTTGCTGATGAGTAATCATCACTGTTAAAAAGAATTTCTTATTCATGTATCGCTTCTTTAAGGTACATTTAATGTGGCGGAGATGTCAAATAAACAACAAGATGGATGGAGTTTCTCCAACCACTCTGTTCATTCCAGACAAAATAATGTTAAA